AGTAGATACGAGAGGCGAGTGACGAGGCGAGAGCGAGACCACGACTGAGAGAGAGAAGAAGAGGCGAGAGAGGGACGGAGAGTCAGAGAGAGAGGAGAGAGAGGAGAGGCATGAAGCAGAGAGGAGAGACGAGGAGAGTTCGAGATAGAAGAGAGACCGGAGTGAGAGAGACGGAGACGGGAAGGTGAGGAGAGAAGAGGAGAGAGAGATGGAGAGAGAGAGAGAGGAGAGGAGAGAGAGAGATGACTGAGAGATGAGAGAGAGAGAGGGGATGAGCAGAGAGAAGGATTTGAGCGAGGAAAGAGAGAGATGGGCAGAGAGACGAGAGGGAGAGAGAGAGAGAGGACAGCGAGGCTGGAGAGAGTAGAGGGAGTTCACCGGACACGGCGAGAGCAGAGAGAGAGAGAGAGAGAGAGAGAGAGAGACGATGAACTCTGGGTCAACCAGCACAGAGTGAACAGTGGGGGTATATATATATATATATGCTACACACACACGAGCACGTCAGTAGCAGTAGTAGTGAGTCCACCTCAACCTAACAGGCAAGAAGATAACCAGATTCCACACAGACGTCATCGGGAGACCATCACACAAAAGCACAACAAACAAACAAACAAACAAACAAATAGCGAGGACGAAGCCAAAATGGCACAAATAAGAGCGACGACGAAATAAAAATGGTCGAGGACACCGACACCGGGGTTATGAACACAAACGCAAACAGCATTCGATCGCATATAACGCCATACCCTTGCGCAAAAAAAAAAAAATTTAAAACAAAACAAAACAACAACCGAAACGTGACACGCCAGACAAAGCAAATTAACGAAAAACCGGACAAAGCAAATGAACGAAGAACCGGACAAAGCAAATGAACGAAGAACCGGACAAAGCAAATGAACGAAGAACCGGACAAAGCAAATGAACGAAGAACCGACAAAGCAAAATGAATAAAGAACCGGTAACAAAGCAAATGAACGCAAGAACCGGAACAAAGCAAAATGAACAAAAGAAACGTGGCAAGCAACATGAACGAAAGAATCGCGGACAAGGCACATGAAATCGAAGAACCGGAACAAAGCACATGAACGAAAAAACCAGACAAAGCAACATGACGGAGAGAGGCCGGAACACAAGAGAAAATGAAGGCGAAGAAACCGTCTCAACACAAACATTGCCGTCAGGCACGCAAAAACAAAGGTACGCGACGCGGGAAGCACACAGCAGCAGCAGCGGTTACCATGCCAACGCTCCACACCTGCACGCATACAATGACAGGTAACCATGGCAACGACGATACACAACGGAAAACACTGAGACGAGGCGGTAACCAACACCGTGCAACGACGACGACGACGAATGCGCGACGACGGACAGGGGGCGCCACCGCACGACAAGCGAACGACACACACGCGCACACGCAGAAACAAGCATCAAACCTTGTGGGATCTCTTGCATGTTTTTGTTTTCTTTTTGCCTGCAGATCAAGAAGTTTTGTTGCAAAGTCGCATGCAAATAAAAACGGAAGATTCCTATAATTATTATCTGGATCGGCAGGATGGATGGCACGGATATCAGCGGGGAAGGCGGGAAAGTAGCAGTTTCCACAGGGAAGGGGGATGTATATATATATATATATATATATAATATATATATGTGTATATATATTATATATTAATATTGCGTGTACACAACACAATTACATACACGCAAACAAGGCTTCTGTTAGGATCCGATGCCAAAGAGAAAGCGTATGTGAGGTATGGGTGGTATGTTGTGACAGTGTGCGGGGGTAGGGTAATACAGGGGAGGGTAATACGGGGGTAGGGTAATACAGGGGGAGGGTAATAGCGGGGGAGCGAGTAATACGGGGGAAAGGTAATACGGGTGTAGGGTAAGATGGGGGGAGGGTAATATCGGGGGGAGGGTAATGGGGAAAGGTAAATACGGGGGGAGGGGGTAATACGGGGAGGGTAATAGGGGGGAATGTGAACGTGCAAAGAGGAGGGCGTGGCAGAAGGCTGGAGAGAGAGGGGAAGGGGGGCAGGGGGTGGTAACAGCGCAGCTGTAGGGAGAAATGTTACAAACAAATGTCATATACTGTCAACAGCGAGGTAATAAGAAAGAACTGCTAGCAAAGAGAACGCATTCACACGGTGGAAAAACTCGAAAACACTTGCTGCATCGAAACGCATTCGAGTCCGAATAATGAAAAACAGAACGCTATTATAACAGTATGTAGAAACACATTCTCCGCTATGAAAAAACTGACTGGCCGTCCGTGCTGCGCATACAACACGAGTGAGAGAGAAAGCACTGCTAGCGCTTAAAGTGATTACGTCACCGTAAATAGTAAAAATTCAAAAAACATTTCCACTTTTTCACAAAATATA